ACATGTTGGCTTCATCTTATAACTATGTCCTCTCATGGACAGAGGTATCGCTATTGGTGAATTCATTACCACTATTCAGTATCACTATAGGTGAATTAATCTTCCATGATGATGTCTCAAAGCCTTTTTCTTCCTTTCATGCGATATTATTCAATTGGATATTTATCTCTCAGCCCAGTGTTAGGAAGTAATAACTATCATGTATTGAAGGAATCTGAAGACATAAAACAAGCTTCCTCCACCCCTACTCAACCAGGTATTTTACATACATTAATCCTGTGGAGATAGTATAGCCCTTATCTTATTGATGAGAAAACCAAAATTCAAAGATATTCGGTAGGTTTGAAGGGATAGCTCATTGGTAGAGTGCTTGTCTAGTATGCTGGAGGCTCTTTGTTCAATCCCTAGTACCAAAACAATACAAAAAGCAAAGAAATCAGCTCGTCTTCAGGCTCTGTATAAAAACTGTGCTCTTTTCTCCAATTCAGCAAAGTATCTGTTTAATTCAATCAGATTATTCATTTTTATTACATTATTTTTCCTGTGATCGAGTCAGAACATTTCAGGAAAGGAAGGGAAACCTCAAATTTTCTAACTTTTCTGTTTCCTAGGAAGTGGTTTTGGAAAAAAGATGTTTTAAACCTATCTTTACTTTCACAAATGAGCCAGGCTATTCTATTTTTAGTACATATTTATAGCTAGTCACTAGTTGTGACTTATTTACTTATACTCCTGGCTATGTTTTTATATTCTTTCTGTTTCAAATTACATCATAAGTTATGTTTACTTATTTTAGTTCTATGTTACTTTGTGGCTAGTTCTTTTTAAGAGGGTATAGAATTCTTTGCATTTAGTTTTTAAAATTCTATTAAATTGAGTACTGCCACATTGCTTACACATTGCTGATGGGATGTGTAAATCTTCATCTATATGAACGGTGTTCCTTGGAGTCCTGTAGTTTGGATCTATGTGCAATGGCTTGGTGAAAATCTAATGTGAGTAGGGGGTGGTATTACTTTCTTTCATGTGGCCAATCTGATTGTTCCCAAACTGCGAGTATGGAGATCTGTTTCTCCTCTAGTCATTTCCTGTTTGGGTGATACCTTGAGAAGAAGGCAATTTCAAGGTCAACCTACTTATTTACCTTTGCTGTGTGATGTGAATAGTATGTCCTGATCTGGCAAGTGTCTAAATCTAAATACAAATTCTTCTTCACTGGGACACACAAGTCTGTGGGTTGTCTAGAGGAATGTGAATTCCTGGGGTCAACACAACCAAGACAGCTATTCTGAGGGGATGCTTCAACTTTATTAACCTACAAAGTCCTCCATAGATGGGTAATCAAGTCACCTAGATATGCCTTAAAATTTCAGATTTAGTTAAAAATAGAGGAAGTTCTATAAGAAGTACTGACACTGCTTTTGCTGAAAAGCATGGTATAAGCCATTCTCTCTGCAGTTATCCTGGGTTTCAGAAAAGATAGAATAAGGGACTAAAACTATTCCCAAGCCACAGTGCGCCTCACAGGAGAGATCCCTCCTCCCCACCCCAAATGCAAGCAATCACCTGGAGCTGGAGTAATTGCCAGCACTCTGAAGCAGGAGTAATCATCTCATGAAAACCAGATTGCTATCCTCAAGTGATGACAGAGATAACTTCTCCAGAACCCTTGAAGAACAAGGACTGAGACAATGTCTTGCCTTACCAATCTGACCAACTGAACACACCTGTGACTGGGACAGTTTAACTATGCATATCACTTGTCCCCTACCCTAATTCTTTGTCTAATTAAAGGTAAAGCTCATGGGCATACCCTGGAGGATGGCTGAAGATGGGGTGAAGTATTTACTTTGACTCTTTCCATCGCATGTCCTGAGCTGTGTATTCTTCTTTCTCTGCCCTTCATCATGTCTGTATTTGGCTTAAATGGAGAATGGCCAGATCTGATCTGTGGAAGCCCAGGAGTTTGGGCATGGGATCCAAAACTCTGCAATTTACTTAAACAAGAAAAGCATTTTTCATATGAATTGTGTTTACCTAAAGCTATGGAATAATTGGTTTAATAGAATTTCAAATTAACTTCTTTAGTTAGTATTCTATATTTAAAACCCAACTGTATTTCCAATTATTTGGTCCTCCATGCCATCACTCAGATAACCTTTCCACAATATAAGTTTGATCATACTACAACTCTGATTGAATTCTTCAATGGTTATTTTTTGCTTTCTTATCCTGGCTCACAGACCTTTCTCCATTGGGTCCAGGCTGCATTGTCTTGGCAGCATATTCCATCAGGTCAGGACCCATAGGCACCCTAATACTAGGTATTTCAAGTATTGCATTGCTTGAACATACTATGTTCTATCTCCTCTGTGCCTTACAAAGACTATTTCCATTATCTAACACCCTTCCCTTGGGTCATCCTGATGTAGCCTTCAAGACTGAGCTTCTTTTGGTGACCTTTTCCTAATCCCACCCAGTCCCCCAAGGTTGTCAGATGTTCCTCTTCAGTGATCCCAATATTCCCTGTTAAGGCGTGTGACACTGCAGTAGAGTTGTCAGATTGTCTTCCACATCTGACTATATTGTTTCTGAGGGAAATGTGTGTTTCTGTTTACCTCAGCATCTCCAATTCTTAGCATATCACCTGGCACAAAATAATTAGGTAGGTTTATTAATGCATATAAAAATGCTAGACTTGGGTTTGTGAAGATACTCATATGTTCTTTGGCTGACCTCTTCCTGGCATTTTGCAGACCTGACATCCTCATCAGGCTAGGGAGGAGCAAAGAGAGGAAAGAAAACTGAAAATTCAGTAATATTCATTATCAAATTCTGAGGAGGTTGGGCATGGTAGTTCATGTCTGTAATCCTAGCTACCTAGGAGGTGGGGATCAGGTGGATTGTTGTTTGAGGCCAGCTAGGGCAAAAAAGTTATTGAGACCACATCCTAGCCAGTGAGCTGGGTATGGTGTTATGCACCTGTTATTACAGCTGAGCAGGAGGCGTAAGTAGGTGGATTGTGGTCCAAGGCTGGCCCCATGCAAAAACAGGACACCCTATCCAGAAAATAAAGCATAAGGGACTAAGAGTGTGACTAAAGTGGTGAACATCTGTCTAGCAAGATCGAGGACCCTAGTATTCTGGAGGAAGGGAAGGGGCTTCTACGGACCCTTTGGCTTCCAACAGGGACACAATCTTCTCAATTTCCACCCTATCATCACTGTGTTGTGTATAGGAGAGGACAGTCGCTGGATGGCAGGAATGGGCCTGTGTCAGTGTGCTCTACAGAATGACCTCCTGTTTCAGACATTTTGGTCAGAGCAGAGAGACCCAGAGTGGGGTGAGAAATATACCAGACAATCACCTTAGCCAACTGTCACGGACTTGGAGAAGCTGGTCTTCAGCAGAATAAACACAAAGAAGGATTGAGAATCAAGTATTCAGAGCCAAGCCCCACCCAAGGTTAGAGAGGGGGAACTGATGTCCTTGTGTTTCTGGCCTCTATCAGCAAACCCTTACCCAGCTCACCCACAGGGCATTTGGAGCCAGCTGCCAGGTGTGAGTGGCTCCAGGCTGTGCCAGGCCTGCAGCATGGTCTCTCCCTTTCTTTGGCAGCCTTCCTTCTGTGCTATAGTAAGATCCCTTTGATGGCAAGAGGGTGGAGGGAGATGATGTTGAATTCATGAAAAGCTGGTGCAGGGGAACATTGCTGGGTTAAGAGCTTATGAAATTCTAACCAATAAATGCCTTCAGTCATTGTTGGATTGAGCGGTTGGAATGAATGCATCTCAAGTGGCTGTCTCACTTCTGCTGTTTCTTGGCAGCTATCTGTTAGTTGGGTCAGCCTACCTGGGAAAGATCATGCCAACCCCAGAGGCTCCAACCCTCTGGCTGGTGCAGAGGAGCTGGGTCTCTTCTGTCAAGGCCTGCTGTGGGCTAAATGGGTGTCCCCCCAAAAAGGAAAAAAATATTCTGAAAGAAGATAAGCAATATTAAATGAAGATTTTCTTTTATTTTTCATCTATCCCACATTACATGATGAATTACGCAACAAATATGTATTGAGTGCCTACTATGTGTCAGGTGTTGTTGGAGTGTTAGTGAACAAAACAGAAAGCCCTCAGAAAGCATTGGCTCTATAAATTAGCTTGTTTTTCTTTTATACTGTTTAAATCTATATAACGGCTTGCTTCATAAAGTAGAGAACAACCAGAATAGGTTAGGCTTTCTTGCTCTAGCAAGCTCAAATTGTGCCAAAGTTTTGATTATAAATAAGCTTAAACCAATCATGTCCCCTTTTTTTATCTTAGCCTTGCATTTGTTTATGAACAAGAAATATGGAAAGCTGCAGTTCTTAGGCAAAAGTCATGGCTAAGCACATGGATATATTATTCATAAGTGCTGTCACTCCTTTCTAGAACCAAGGACAGTTCAGAGAAAGGAAGTCATGGATCAAGTCTGTTTTTTGACTTTGTTCTCAGCAATCCACACCAGTAGGCATTGAATCTTTTTTTCTTTTTTGTTTTTATAAAAGGAGTTTTATGGGCACATTACAGCATTCAGAGTTTTCAGCTTCCTTTCTCCTGCAAATCTACTTTAGACTCCATCTGGGACAGAGCCCAACCATATGTACCACCTTAGCACTTTCCTTCCCTGATTCAGTTTGAACTGTGTACTGAGAGGTTCCATTTGGATGCTACATCACAACTTCAGAAACTGGTCTGGGCACAGGAACTATTTCCCACAAAACCCAGGCATGCTTGAAAGGGACTAGGGATGCTTTTACCTTCCTTTCCTACAATCTCAGCTTCTATTGAAGTGGAAGCTAGACTGCAAATAAAAGCCACACTGATTTTCCTGAGAAAACACATTACCATATTAAAAAAAAAAGTCTTAATTGTTCTGTGGGAAATCTTTTTGTTACAAATACTGTGTATCTGAAGTGGCAACACAATTACATTTCTGACAGTATTACTGGTACAACTCCCAGTCTCTCCAGGGAAAGCAATGTATTTTCCTCTTGGAAGAAACAGCAAGCTCTCTGGTCCCCTCGGTACACTTGATCTAAGTACAATTCAAAATAATCACAGACAGATGACCACAGAGCAAATAACGCAAATTTGACAATTCAGGTAAATAAAATGGGCTTATCCAGAATACAATGAAAGTGTGAAAAAGAACTACAAAATTAATAACTTGACGATTTTTACAACTTCCCAATGGCTTGATCTCTAGTCTCCAAATGGGGAAATGTGAGAGGGACTTGAGGGAAGAAAATAATCATGAAGTCTATGAAAATGTAAACATTAGAAGAAAATATAATAGGAGCGTGGAGTAAGGGGGCAGCTTCCGTGTGTGTTAGAGACTCTCCTGCCTGTTGCGTTCTAGATAGACTCCAGCTCCCATCCTGTTGTTCAGATGTTGCGCCACGGCAACAGATGACCTGCCTCTGCTCAATAAGCACCTAGAATACGCTTTCGCAGGAGCAGGGCAGCGGTCTGGGGCGCGGCGGGGGTGGGCGCAAGCAGCCCTGGTCCCGCCGAGCATGGTGATAGTGGGGTTGGGGCCAGCGGTGGCGGTGGAGTACCTGGTGGTCCCCGACCCCCTCGTTGTCCTCCGGAACTCCCTCCCGCGCGCAGCACACAATGGCCAGGCGCCTCCATAGCCGTCGCCAGAGCCGGCCGTCGCCCGCCTGGAAGAAGAGGTAGACGAAAGGATTGAGAGCGCTGTTGCACACCCCCACGACCCGCAACGCCACCGTCAGGCTCTCTCCCTCCCAGTCTCGTGTGGGCCCGGACGACCACGCGGTTGCCAAGCGGGCGGCGAAGTAGGGCAGCTCACAGCCCACGAACAGCAGCGCCAGCACCAGGCTCATTTTCAGGCTCTGCACCTTGGCGCGGGGCAGCGCACTGGGCGCGGGGGCTCGGGACGGACTCGCTGGCCATTGCCCCGCAGCGGCAGGGACCCGAGGTCGGCGCTGCCACCAGACACAGAGAAGGTGGCCGCAAGCGACGCCCATGACCCCAACGGGCGCCGCGAACCCTACGATTGCCTCGTACAGCGTGTAGACCTGTAGGTGCCAACGCGGCAGAGGTGCGAAGATGCCGCGGCAGTGACGCTCCCCCGGCCAGACGCGGGCGGCTGGGGGTGCAGCAGACGGCGACAGGGACGAAGGCGGGTTCCCCCGCACCACGAAGGTCGGAGGCAGCGCCAGCAGCAGCGCCAGCAGCCAGCCCAGGGCGGCGAGGGCGCGCGCGGGCAGCGGCGGGCCCAGCGGACGGCGCACGGCGCACTGGCGCTCCAGGGCAATGAGCGCCACGAGGTGGGCGGAGGCTCCCCGGCCGGACGCCTGCAGCAGCTGCTCGAAGCGACAGGCCAGGTCGCCTGCAGCCGGGCGCGGCTCGCTCAGCAGTTCCCAGGCCAGCTGCGACAGCGCCGTGCCACCGCACGCGTACAGGTCGGCCACAGCCAGCTGTATCAGCAGGAAGTCCATCTTGCGACGCTTGGGACCTGCCCAGGGCCCGCCGCCGCCGCACAGGCGGCACAGCACCATAACGTTGCCGGCCACCGCCGTCACCAGGATGGCCCCCAGGAAGACCAGGTGCACTCGGTAGCTGGGGGGCCCGGGTGGCGGCGGCGGTCCCGGGACAGGGGCTCCGTGCCCCGAAGTCAGGTTGAGACTCCAGCTCGGCAAAACCGGTATGGAGAGGTTGGGCGCCGGCGGCGTTGAGGAGTGGAAGAGATGGAAGAGATCGTCCATCCTGAGCCGGGAGGAAACGGAGACACCAGAGAGGGCTGGAAGGGCTCCAGAAACCAAAGTGGAGGCCAGGTGGCGTGGGCGGCCCTGGGTCTACGAGTTCCCAAAGTTAGTTGAAAAAGCACACGCATCGAGAAGGAGATGGTTCGAGTGGATTTGCCCATTAGTTGCTTTTATAGGTTGTCCTCGTCATTTGTCACTCAAATGTGGGTTGTACACTCGAGGAACACACATGATTCCTATTCTCCACCTTCTCCGCGTCTCGCCCCCCAATCCCAGCTGATCCTCTTCTCATCTCTCTCGCAGACCCCCACGCTGGCCTCGCGGGAACAGGGGACCAGGGGGCTCTGGGAACCTCACCCGTTGGCTATTTATGAGTAGAGCATAGTCGGACAGGGTCACTTTGCTTGGCTTTGTAAAGGCTAATGTTACCTGGGACCAACACACGAGAGAAAGCTCCTGACTGAGATCGTAACCCCCCCTCCCACAGGGTTTCGTAATTGTCAGGAAAAAAAATTGTTTTGGTTAAAAACAAAACAAGAACGTTTTGAAATGCCATGGCTCTGCGATAGCTGGAACACAAGAAACCCAATGGCATACCCCCGCCCCCTAGCGACTCCCCCACACCTTGCTGGGAACGGAGCCTCGCGCATGCTGAGCAGGCGCTCCCACAGAGCAGCGCTGAAACAGTGTTTTGTGCAAAAACAATCATTCATCTTTGGTAAGGGTATGTCCTGCAACGAGAGCATTTTAGTTAGAGAGAAATAAGGGGCAATAATGTCGCCTGACAATTACGAGTGGAAGTGGTTTGCAGATAGTTTCAAATACTCATTACTAGCAACAGCAGAGGACAGCTGCTCCCTCCTCTCAGTGATATAAAAAATTCATTTCGTTGGTCTGAAGAGCGCATTAATAGGTTTTATGCAAATGCTAGTACATGTATTGCCTTTCGCTAGTATTTTCATCCAGTGAGGAATGTGTCACCATGCTCCTTGTTCTCTTGATTCTGTTTTCTAGCAGATGGGAGGTTGTTAGAAGGGACTACGCCTCCAATAAGCCTAGATAAATGGTGACTAAGAAAATGATAAGGCGGCCAACTTAAAAAAAAAGAAATCCAAATCACAGGAAATAGTTTAGATTTAATGCTAACTCTTTTAGCCCTACTTGTTCACAAATAAATTTTAGTTTTCCTGTTGGAAGCATCAGTTTGTCTTTTGTGCACCCTCTGGTCTAGAAGACAGGGAGGTGTGGGTGTCTGCTGGGGTTCACGTTCTCAGTCTGAAGAAACATTTGGAATTTGAAGATACATGGGGTGTTGATGGGGAACAGATGATAGTCCTGACAGTCGTTTTAGGAATTTCATTTTCAAAGGTCTTGTCCTTTAACCAGAGACCCTTGTCGTTTTCATCTCCGTGTCTCCAGTGCCCTCAAACTGGTATCAGTTGAAGGAATATAATGCATTTCAGATAACTTAGAGTTTGCCCCCCCAACTCTTTTCTTTTCCCATATTATCAATACAGTAATATTACACTTTTGAGTTAGGCCTATATTCAGTATTTGCATTATTATGAAATAAAAATATTCTGAGTGTTGTAGTGTATTACAAAGATAATTTTCATTTTGTTTTTCTTGAAGTTAACAAGTGCCTTTTCTTAATTTTTGTTGTTACCATAGTTAATTCTTTCTATACCTTCAAATAGTCTCTGTACAGTTACTACAAGGTCAGTTTCATAGCATAAAATAGCAACTCCATTTTTCCTCCCTGGAAGCCTTCTTTATAAGAGACCTCCATTTTCCTCCTAATTTGGGTTGATTTCTGTCGAGGCCTGCTGCATACTATCAACTGGGGACTTACATTAGTTGTTCTTGATCTCTCCTTTGGTAGAACACACCAATTATTTCACAAGCTAAAAAGATTGTACAAAGGCTGAGGATTCAGCAGTGAGACCTCACTCTGCCCCTTACTTGAGCCATGTAGACTTAGTCTGGCTGGACAAATGGCTTCCAGGCCACTCTCATCCTGCCATCTCACTTCATTATCCTAGAGATTCACTTATGCTAGTTCTCTATTTTCAGATTTTGTGTATGTGTGTTTTCTTTTTGGGTTTGTTGTCTTGATCTGGAAGAAGGCATCCTTCAGTGACTTTTTTTTTTTGTGGGACTGGGGCTTGAACTGAGGGCCTTTATGTTGAGCCACTCTGCCAGCTCTTTTTGTGATGGGTATTTACAAGGTAGGGTCTCTCGAACTATTTGCCCAGGCTGGCTTTGAACCTCAATCCTCCTGATCTCTACCTCCTGAGTAGTGAGGATTACAGGCATGAGTCACTGGCACCCAGCCTTCAGTGACTTTTGAAAGAGTAACCTTTTGGGACCTTGCATGCTTGAAGATTTCTTTATTCTACCCTCATGCCATTACTTGACTTGGTTTAGAATTATGTTTTGGAAAACATCTTCCTCCTGAATTTTGAAGGCATTGTCTTCTGGTTGCTAAGTGTTTATATTGAGAAGCTGTAAGCCTTCTCAATATTTCATGATTTGTTTGGATGTGATCATTATGTCTTCCTTTTTAGAAGCTTATTTTTCTTTTCTTTGTCTCTTAACAAATTTCAAAAAGATGTGTTCTGATATGGGTTTATTTTTATCCACTGTGTTGAACACAAACAAGGATTACAAATTGTATTTAATAGTAATATTTCTTACTGCCCTTTAATCTAGACCAGTTTCTCTCCTTGCTTTTCTTCATTGTGCTGAGATCTGAAGAGTCCATGATATATGTTTTACAGCCTATTGCTAAAGTTGCGCTTGCTTCCACATAATTACCTCTGGGTTAGACTTTTTTTTAGCAGGAGTATTACATAGGTAATACCATGTTCCCAGTGTTTCATCTCAGTGGCACATAATCCTAATTTATCTCAATGAAAGTGATAATAAGGTTGAAATATATGTTTTGAAATTTTAGTATTTATTACTAGTACAAATTAAGTACAGAAAAATTAGCATATATTCACAACAAACAAATCACATAACATCTGCACATGTAGATATATGTCCTTCAAACCATAATAACTAGATCTACGTATTTACAAAAATAGGTCTTACTTCTTTTTTTTTTTTTGAGATAGGCCAAGTTGGCCTCAAACTTGAGATCCTCCTGCCTCAGCCTTCTGAGTGCTGGGATTACAAACATGTATCACCATACCTGGTTAAAAATAGATCCCACTATGGACATTTTGTATCCTACTTTTACTTCACTTAAGAGTATATTTGGATAGCTTTCTGTGTTAATAAGTACAAAATAAATTTATTTTCATATATGCACAGCCACTGAACACATTTTTATCAATTCTCATAGTTTTTGGTAGGTGTTCTTTGGGTTTAATGAAACAGAAAAACCACAAACAGTAGAAAGAATACAAAATCCCTTGTTTTTTTAAAACCAAAGGCAAAAAATCAGATAAGGTTCCTGGTTGCATGGTTGTTTCCAGTATGAGGAGCGTAGTTTGAATAGCAGGATTCCAGACCAGGGGTTCCCAAATTTTGCTTCATTAGAATCTCCTGGGAAGCTTTTCCAACTGCTGATGCTTTGGGTAGAAGCCAGCCTTCACTGTTTTTAAGCATGGTCAGGGATGTCTGTTTACAGTGAAGTTGTGAACCATTCATCGGTGTAGGCCACCATTCAGCAAGCTGTGACCTACAGGTCAAATCCTGTATTTTTGTAAACAAAGTTTTATTAGAGCACAGCCATGAGCATTTGTTTACTATTGTCTGTTGTGTATTCATGCTACAACTGCAAAATTGAGTAGTTGCGAAAGAGGCCATATGGCTCACAAAGCCTAAAATATTTAGCATCAAAAAAAGAGGGATGGAATCCCTTTGTCAGCTCTTTTTTTCTTTTGAGACAAGGCCTCACTCTGTAGCTCCTGCTGGCCTTGAACTCATCCTCCTGCCTCAGCCTTACTAGTGCTGGGATTACAGGTATGTACTCCTGTGCCTGGCTCCTTTGTTTGCTCTTCTGTACAGGTTTTCTTAGAATTTAAGTTTCTGGAAGGCTTTGCTTTATTGAGAAGGCAACTTCCCTTTATTCCCTGTCCTGCCATGGTCTACTGTGTTAATGTTCACAACAGCTACAATTCTCAGTAAATTAATTCAGTATCTACTAAGCTTCCGCTATGTGTTAGGCACTTGTGATGCTTTAGGGCACAAAAAGGACAAAGAAAGAACTGCATGCATGCATGGAGCTTTTTCCCATTGGGAGGGGAGTGGGGGGAGGCATGAGAAACAGGATAAACAAATATGTAAACTAAGGTGGATTTCTGTGGAGAAAAATAATGCAAGGAAGCCCTTGCAAGTAGATGACATTTGAACAATGACCTGAAGGAGATAACAAGTAAGCCATGTGTTACCTGAGGCAAGAACTGTGTCCCAGGTAGCAAGAATTGACAAGTACACAGGTCTTGAGGAGGCCTTGACCCACTGAGGTGCTGCACACCTGCTGTGCCTGGGAGAGCAGCATGACTGGAGCAGAGTGAACCAGGTAGCAGGCAGGAAGAGATGTGGTTTGAGAGAACATGCCATCAGATTGTTTAGAGCCTTCTGGGTCATTGGTAATATGGGAAACCAGGAGAGGATTTTGAGCATCCAGTGATGTGTTTTAACATGATCTCTCTGGTTGCTGGTTGAGAACAGACTGAAGAAAGCCAGGGACAGACTTCAGGAGTGTATTGCAGAATTCCTTCTTGGCACAGGGAGATAGAAGTGAAGCCCAAAGTTTGATTGGTCTCAGTCTAGCTACTAATAATAAGTGTCAATTCCTCTCAGATTCTGACATTAGATAATTATCTTGGTTTTTCTTAATTGTCTGTTTCCCTAGTTGTTTGATGTCATTTTGAATTAAATATTGTCCTAAAATTCAATTGTACACAATTATGATCCTATGTTTAATATAATTAAAATATTGTAGATACCTGGTAAATTCTTAACAGTGAATTCATCTTGAAAGGCCTGAGTACAATGAGGTGAATTATGGCCAAGCTCATGTTTTCAGAGTCATCTTTATATCATTATTATTCCTTCCCCCTTAATTAGCATGTACACCTGCACGTAAGCTATTTTATGTTCTTTAGGTTTAATTAGGAGACATTAGGAGGTAGATTTGAATATTTTAATTTTAACTTTAGTCTAATATTAAGATCTTTTTCTTAAGGGTTTCATGTCACTGTATATGAATATATAAATTATACATAAAATATATTCTTAAGTGGAATTTCTCAGACATGATGGTAAAGACTTAAACCTACTGAAGAACAATAAGCAAAATAAAGAAACTGGATTGGCTTATGAGGAAAATTTCAAAAACAGTTTGAAAAAGTATTTGCAGATAAGCTTTTTCCCTGCAAAATATAAGGTATCAACTAAAAAGCTATTGCAAATAATAAAGTAGTCAGAACACAATAAATATATAGAAACGGAGGCTGCATATTAAGCAACCACTTAAGAGAGATAATGTAAGAAAAATCCACTTAAAATAGCAACCCAAAAGTCACGCATGATGGTTCACTGCTATAATCCCAGCTACTCTCGTGGTATAGGTAGGAAGAGTGCAATCCAGGGCTAGCCCCAGGCAAAAAGTGCAAGACCCTACCTAAAAAATAATTTTAAGAAAGCAAAAGGGATGGAAGTATGGCTCAAGTTTAGAGTGCCTGCCTAGTAAGCATGAGACCCCGAGTTCAAACTCCAGTAGCATCAAAAAAAAAAGCAACAATGAATGATAAAACAACTAGGAATAATAAATTCACTTTTAGCTACAAATTAGAATCACTGGCTGGAGGACTTTACAAACAGCAACAGTAGCAAAATAGTGCTGAGGCTTCCTCCTAGAAGTTCTAATTCAGTTGTTACAGGTTGGGGCCTGTCTCCCACTTTCAAAATTCTGTCCAGAGAAACTTAGAATACTACTGAGGGAAAAGCAGACTGTGTTTCTTAGAATGACTATCATAAAGAATTTATTTAATTTTCTGTAAATTAGGCCATAAATCTAATAACTTCATTAAAATGATTACTGGATTTTTTTTTCTTTTTTTGCGGGGGCAATACTTTGAACTCAGGATTTTGCACTTGCTAGGCAAGCACTATATCACTTGAGCCAAACACCAAACATCTCTATTTTTTTTTTTTTTTTTTGCTTTAGTTATTTTTCAGGGAGGGTCTTGCTAACTTTTTTGCCTGGGCTGGCCTTAACCGCAGTCTTCAAAGCTGGGATTACAGGTATGAGCCACCACACCTGGCCCCGGATTTTTCATTTTTACAATTAGCAAATATTCGTTTTGAAAAACTAAGTAAGCAAGAGTTGCTAGGACAATTCTGAAAAAGGCAACTGTTACAAAGGGACTAGTCTTACCCATTGGCCACTAGATTAATAGCTAAAATAGTGCAGTGCAACAATAAAATGTTGAGAAAGGCATAAGTGTAAATGGGACTTTGGTATATGATAAAATTGCATTTCAAATCAGTGGGGGAAAAGATTGTTTATTTGATCCAAAGTGTTTTGTAATGAATTGACATTTTTAGCCAAAGGGACAAAAGATAGTTTACTCAATAAAATGTCACTTGGAGTGGGAATAAAGCTCAAATGTTATAGAGTGACTGCCTTGTATGCCCAGGGCCCTGGATTCAAGTCCTGTGCCATAAAAAGTCAATTGAATAGACATTAATCAAAAGAAACCCAAAACAACCTAAACTTATATCTCTAACATATAATACATTACAAATAGGTTAAAGATCTAACAGTGAAAAATAAAGCTGTTTAAGAAGGTAAGTGGGAAGACCATTCTAAATCTGAAACAAAATGCCAAAGCCAGAAAAGCAAAGATTCATAAATTTTAAAATTAATATTATCTTTATTAAAAGTCATAATTGTATATACTTATTGGGTTCAAAGACTTATAAACTTGATTACATGAAAATACAGATTTCTACATGTCAAAAAAACCCAGAACAATGTCAAGAGACACATGACAGTGACAAACTGGAATGAAAATATTTGCAAGATTCCTTACAAAGAGCTAGTATCTAAAGCATGCCTATAATAGAAAAGAAAGACCAACAATCAACACAAAAATAGGCAAAGAACAGAAATAGGACAGGTCATAGTAAGTGCAATGTTCTAATGGTTATTAAATATGTGAAAAAATGACCTATCTTACTAATAAAAAGATAAAATAAAAATAAAATATGTTTTATCTATCAGGTTGATAAATGATGTGAGGACATAACCTTCTGGTAAAAATATCAATTAGTATACTGGAGGTATCCACGGTAATGCTGTAGATATATTGTTTACTTCTAGCTATCTACCATTAAGTAGGGAGGGGGATCCATACATGTATAATATACTACCTTTTGATGGAGGTGGAAAGAATGTACCCATTTGTTGGTAAATGTATGGCCTGTCTCTTAGGGTACACAATTTGGTGGTCTCAGTAGTTGTTTCTTAGAAGGGAAACTGGGTGGTAGGGAACTGGGAAAGGAGGAAGACTTCATGTCCACTGTTAAGCCTTGTGCATACATCAACTATTTATAAAAAGAGTAATAAAATCAGCTATATCCAGGGTCTATGTCCCATTAAATACTCCTAATACTTCCCTTAAATGCATTCAAATACAAAGAATTCATCAAACACCATCAAATACTCAAAACTATCTTAGAGTTCATAAGTAATAATAATTATCAAAATATTTCCTATTCTATATTGTTCGGACAAACATAACCTATCTTATAGTACTTGCTTCAATCCTTTTGATACTTCCATTAAATTGCCAGAAAATGATAAGATTAGGTCTTAATAACAGCCTTTATTGAAAATATATAATTCTATAATCATTGGTACTTTAAAATACACATTCTTTAAAAGTAAGTAAAATCAGCAATTACTAAAACTTTCATTTAAAATAAATATAAACATATTTATATGCAGCTCCAGAACATTATTTTCTTATTTTTGTTCAAACTGTTTTTGGAGCATTGTGGGTTTTAAGCCATTGATCGATAGCACTTTCATACTTCTTTGGTTTCTCCAGCCACTCCTGATGCCACCTAAGGTTTGCTATAACATTTGAATAATTTTGTCCTATGCTTTGTTGCCACATGATAAACTGCTCTTTATTGTATTGGTGGACAGAAGCAGAAACTTTTGGGTAATTTATAATGGAACGAAGTTTCTGGTCCAAAGAGTAAGTAATGTCAGGAAATTTTGTAGCAATATTTGTTAGTTCATCTGGATCCGAGGAAAGATCTGAAAGAAAAAATTAAAATACCTATCAAAAATTACTTTCTACAGTTTTTTCTGGAATATTATGACAGATAATTTTTAGAATTTATTTTCATTTTTAGTTCTTCTTAGTGTTGTAAAATGCACCACGTGTCAACAACAGATCACATGCATGTTGATGGTCCTATAAGATGATGTCACTTAGTGACATCATGGCCATCTTAGTTCTATGATGTTGTCACAACAATGAAGTAACCTAATGACACATTTCTCAGAACATATCCTGTATGACCTGTATATATTAAAAACATAACGTTAAATGCTCCTATAATGTATGTCCAAATTATCTTGCTTCATATCATCATCCTGCTATCCCATTTTTTCTTATCCAGTCTTAAATGTCCAAAAGTCAAACTTTTATTGTTAGTAAGCTGTTTCTGTTGCCTTGCCCCCTTTGACATGCAGAGGAAAAAATAGTAATGCTTATTTTGTTCTTTTTTGACAGCTCTACACTCTCCAGCTGTAAGAATTTGTTATATAGGCAAGGCAAGTTCATACAATTTCACATAGTCCTGGTTTTTTTAAGCATTCTACTCTTGGATTTCTGAAAGTTACATTCATCAATACTGTTCACGTGAGCAAACATAAACACTTTCCTCAATCACCACCAGTGAGAAAATGATGATGAGTATTTCAGATCCATAAATGCCCTTTTTACATATGGCAGAGGATGTACCTAGGATTCCCATCTAATTGGAAAACCGTGAGTCAGAGATATTATGATGGTTAACTTCAGATGGTAAATGAACACTACATACAGGGAAAAACCTCTATGGGCCTATTTGAGGACATTGACCAGGAAATGCCTAAAATGATGTATGTCTTTGCTAGGTGATTTCAGATGGCACCTCTTTAGGTTAGGGAAGTTCATAAATAAACCCTACAGAATACAGGGGCTTAAGTATCCACATCTGCTTTTTCCAGAAGATGGTGTGAAAAAACAAATATAGTTTAAAGATCTAATTGGCTTTTATTTAGTAAGTCATGTATTGGGCATCATACCACCTAAAGAATTAGAAATGGCACTCTGATGAGCTGAGGAGAGGAGGTGAGTGGGCTTTCTAAGCTAAAAAAAAAAGATGAAGAGCAAAAAGCTGATTAGTGGTTACAGTTACTTTCTTTCTAGAGTTAAAGTACAGGGGACCTCCTTATCATTTGGATCTGGTAAAATGGGGCCCCTTTCATTAGTTATTGTGAATTTCCAGTTGTTTTTTTTAAACTGGCCTGTTTTAAAGTTCAGTTTGGTCAGTTTTGTTGGGTTTAGTGTAAGCTCAGTCCAAACAATGGGATCCCATAAATTTCATTTAACGGTGGCCACTGAAGGAGCACAAGATGTTCATTAGTGAAGGAGGTTAGTCAGCTTGGCCCCTATGGAATTATTTGGAGTTAATATTTTGACATTTGTAACTAGGAAGGAAACTTAGGGAGAAATAAATATTAATAATGACATTGGCACATGTTTTATGTACAAAATGGGACAAAGCATAAATAAAACCATAAATTTAAAAAATTCTGTTTACAAATTAATCCACAGACTAGTGGGCTAGCAGGCATTTTTATTAGGGTGGAAAGAGCCTGGATTTTGGAGTCAGACCTGAGTTAAACTCTCAATTCTGTTACATCTTAGCTGTAAAGCCTGCACAGTTGTCTGAATTTTTCTGATCCCTACTCTCCCTTTTTTGTAAAATGAGGAGAATGGTTAACTGTCCTGTAGGGTTAAATAATGTATGTTAGGGTTAAGTAATATATGTAGAAGGCCAGGCTCCATAAGATATAGGCATTAATCTTTCACCACAAATGAAACCTAGGTACAATGAAAAGATGTTAACTGCTGATGGGGAAATATAACAATGAGTATAAAAGATTCCTGATCAGGGAAAACAGTGGTTTCAATCATGAGACCTAGACACAAAGCCTTAGGGCACTTTCTCTGATATTCAGATGCTGAGTTACAAGGAAGCTGCTCCACTTTCATTAGTTTAACATTCATAAATGACATCATTTACATTCTTCCTATCATTAAAATCACAGAGAGTAGGGACTATATATGAATTTTGTAAACAGACTGCGTACATTCAAATATTTACTCCATTAGTAATGTGACCTGGGCAAGCTTTTATAGCCTGTTCCAGCCTGAGAAGCAGCAGATTTTGCTTAAACAGTGATTACTGAATCTCTGGAGTGATGCAACATATGTCAGCCTCTCACACATATTACTACACTTAAAAATATATTGACAAATTTACCAAAGAGTTGAGGCAGTACTGAAGCACCATCAGAGTAGGCTATGTACTTCCACTGGTTGGTTCGAAGCATGTAGGTGGAAGCATTCACGTTGCATCCATGGAATTCACTCAGAATCCAGGGCTGACGTAGGCTTTTGAGTTTATGTTCACTCTTAAATGTTTCTGATGATAATGGCAACAAAGAGTATCCACTCAGGTTCTGCAGCAGAGGAACTCCAGCAATACCTTTGTAACAAAAGTAACCAAGTATTTAAAAATAATGCATTCCATACTTAGTTGAATAGCAATAAATGTCACCATTTTCAGTTTTTCTATCATAACCATAACAGAGACTACAGATTATACATGGATCTTATTGGACTATCAGGTTCAATAACAGACTTTGGGTTTTTACTCTGGATGATACAGGAAGTCAGTAGAGGATTTTAAGCAAACATGTATGACACAGGTTGATGCTATGTTGGTAAACTGACTAAAAGTGGGTACAGGCAGATGGTAGGAGAGTGTTGGGAAGCTATGGCAGGAGTCCAGGCAAGTGATAATGGTGACTTAATTTTTTTAGTCTATTATGGAGAGAATAATATTTTTGTGAATTGATAGTGAAAAAGAAAGCCCATGTCTATATCTATACTGTTTAATACTATTTATAAATACTTAGTATATTAAATATATATAAGTGCTTAGGGTATGTGTTAAATACTTTTGCCTCAGAAGACGTGTATTCATTTCTACTTTTAGAGTTAATCACAACTAAAATAGTTTTGAATTCTTCCAGTGTGGAGGAATTTCATTTTAGAGGGTGAATTGAACATCAGAATTACCTCTGCTTTTTGGGTGTACTGGCTGTTAGACAAGGCATCAGGCTCAGCTCATACCTCTATCTTGGTATAATTGTTGAGTGCCCTTCTAGTTCTAAAAAATGTGCTGATTGGGACAGTAAAGTTAGATGAGTATTCTATCCCAACAAATAAACAAAAACAAAACAAAAAAACCTACTTATACAACTTAACAGCCTACATTTTCTTTTAAATAATATATGTAAACTATGTTAACATCATTTCCTTTTTAGTAGAATTGACTTTTTTTTAACCTAACCCCATTACTACTAGACATTCACAACGTTATTCTTTTTCATTCTTAAATAGCAATAGTATAAATACTTGTATGCATCTATAGGTCACTGCCTAAAATAGAAGCTTCTAGGTCAAAAAGTATGCAGGTGTCTAAGAACATGGAGCATAATGCCACGTTTCCTCCAAAAAATTGGTGTCAGCTTCTCTTCTCAGCAGCAGCATGTTAGAAAGCAAGCCTAGTTCTAATTCTTAATCTTTGTAAATTCCATATGTGAGAGAAAATGCTGTTTTTGTTGAAATAGTTTTACGACTATTGAGTTGAATCTTGAAGAATATCTTGGTTTGCTTATTTTTCTATTTTGGTCAATCTGTTAGTGGGGTATTTCTCTTTTTCTTATTGACGTAAGAGCTTTATGGATAGTAAACCTTCATCATTTATAGAAAGATTAATTTTAAATAAGTAATAGTGCTACAATGTTGTCTCCTGGATCCGACATAAGGTTCTTGCTATCCCCCTTGAACCTTTCTCTTTCCACCTTATCTCTAGTGAACATCAGGTTAATAGGATGTTTCAGTGTTTCATATGAAAACCCACATTCAGGTATTCTCTATTCCCTCTTGATCCCTAAGAATAATATATATGTAGCTTTTACTCTTCTGATAATGAAAAGAATATTTACTGTGAAAGTGCTGTAACTGCACTTTCCTTATCCTTGAAGATATTAATTTAATTTACAGTTTAGAATTGAAGCAAGGGGCTAAGAGTGCAGCTCACTGGTAGAGCATTTGCCTAGCATGCATGAAGGCATGGCTTCAGTCCCCAGCTCTACAAAAAGAAGGATTTGAAACTGGCTCTAACACCAAAGAATTATAAAGAAAATTATTTTTAGCTTTACTTCCTTTATTCTTTCTGGGCAGGCCTAATCAATATATGATATAAATATATAACAACATATATTCTTATAGGGAAATGTGACTCAGGAGGAATGTATTACCAAGAATCTTATGAAGGATAAAAATAAATATCTGTGCATAATTATAATTGACAACTTATAAGAAAAACCCTACAATTGCAGAGAACTTACACCATTTTCAGAAGAACAGGAATGGAATGTAAAGGAATGTTTTATATTAGCTGAAGAAAGTTTTATTGTCAAATATCATAAACTAGAGGAGCGTCAGGTCCACCCCTTAAAAGTTATTACTACCTCCAAAACAACACTGCCATCTGGGGACCAAGCCTTCATATGAGCCTGTGGAGAACATTTGATATTCAAACCATAACAGGCACCAAGATTATAGAGTAAAAAATTTGCATTGTGGTAAATATAAAGCAGTGCTTAAATAATGCATATTAATTAGCTAACATATAGGTGACAGAAAGTATAGGAAGAGTACAGAACTCACTATAGCTCCCCAAGGATACTGGACTGTTTGTTGGCGTCAAAAAGACAAAGTAAAATGCTAAATATTACTGGGAAACATACTGAGAGAGATACTGAGGAAAACAACCGTTCGAGCTTTCTATAATTTTCTACAATTTTTTTTTGCAGTTCTATTTGCTGTACCTCAAGAAAACAGAGCAAGGTTAAACAGTCAAGTAAGTATAATGATTCAAGGAAAATTTTGTTTGGGAATGAGTGGGAAGAACTAGGTGAAGAAACTGTAAAGAAATGCCAATCGTAGTATATATTCACAAAAATCTATTAGTGATAATAAGAGATACCTATAGAAATATACATATACTTAAAAAAATAGAAATGAGAGAAAGTAATAGGGGTCTGGAAACTGATGGAGCAAGGAAGTGGCTGAGACATGGCTAAGTGTGATAAATTGTTTTGGAATGAAGGGAAACCAGCCAGTGATGACTAAGCAACCAAAGAAATTAAAAATTCAAAGAACTGGAAAGATGTTCAAGTATACAGGATATGATGTGAAATAAAAGAGAAAAGGAAACGACACTGATTTAAATTAACTCTAAAGAAATGTAGTTCAATAAAGGTAAAGACTGTAGGAGGAGGAAAAAGATAAACTTTTATTTCTTTGATTTTAAAATTCATCTTTCATATTTAAATTTTTTTTAAATAAGAGAAATATGTCATCTTTTTCTTTCACCAAAATTTAGGAATTAATGGTAGTTTTTGCAATTGATGATGTCACAGAACAGAAGAATTACAGTATTTAAATGCTAATGAATTTAAAGTGCTCTGCTAAATTAGAAAGAGTTACATAATTTCCTTTGAATATGATATTATAACTCTAGTAGTAACATCTAAAACTGCTAACTATCCTAATCCATGTGTTACTCTTCTAGACCTTTGAATCTGCAGGCTTAATAGCATGGGTCTTTGTAACCCAGATTCAGAAACTGCCAAAATGTTGGGGTTGGGGATTTAGCTCAGTGGAAGAGCGCTTGCCTGGCAAGTGCAAGGCCCTGAGTTCGGTCCCCAGCACCAAAAGAAAAAAAGGAAAAAAAAAACCAGAAACTGCCAAAATGTTTTTAGACATTAAGAATCTAGTAAAGCAAATAGTACAAGACTATTTAAAAAGTCTGAGAAGAAATATGTTCAGTTTCAGATTAAAAGACTGTCTAATCCTGTACAATTTAATAGTTTTAAAGTAGACAGAATAATCTAAAAAGAAATGCTTACATTTTAAGGAGGTGGTGGTAGAGAATCAAATGATATACAAATCATCCATAAATTATGAACCCAAATGTCTTCTGTGATTTACTTATAGTCATACCCTGATTGTGACTCTTTTGAAGGAAAATGACTAAAGTGAGTGAAGGCTACAGGACTCTGAGGAATATTATCCTTCATTTTCAGAGTATGAATTTGACTCACAGATGATTTGTTCAAGATTAAAACAAATCAGTGGAACCTCTGACTACTTCGCTTCTTCACTCTCCAGCATTATTACAAATAAATTTTTACAGAATCGTACTACTTACCAAGCATAGTTGGGTAAATATCCACAAGGGAAACCATATTTGATACTTGTAGGTTGGCCTTAATTCCTGGTCCCATTATCAAAAGTGGTACATGGGCACTGGCTTCATACATACTCATTTTATAAAACTGTCGATGTTCCATGGCCAGCTCTCCATGGTCTGAAGTGTATATGATAATAGTTTTCTGAAGAAGATTTAACTGGCGAAGAGCCAAAATAATTTCTCCTACAATGAAATCAGGATAAATATATTAATTAACTTTCAGTTCATGTTTTATTCTATTACATTAAGTTTAAACAACTCTGGCTCTATAAGTCTGCCAAGAGGCTTCATTAACATCTGGATAATACTTCAGTTGATAGAGAGAAGGAGAAAATACAATATCCATGGAACTTTTACTCAAAGCTTCTTCATCTGTAGATCATGCTTTCTGTTTCTGTCAGAATAGTAGGGGCTGGAGTGACCTTCCCCTTTCTGTTCTGGGAACAGAAAGACAAGTCTGAATGTCAGTATTGTACATGCCTCAGATGCTACAAAGATTGATGTCACTGCTGATTCACAATTTCTACACAATAAGAGGTGATAAGAGCCATCAGAACTCCTTCCCTGCTACTTTTTCTCCTACACCCCTGAGCAACTGAGCAAGGTCATGAAGTTGGCTTATGGTTATTGAAATCTCACCTTTGTAGAGCAGTACAGATGGTATATGAGTGTGAATTAGCATATTCTTGGATAGGGAATAACTGGACAGTAGAATTCTTCTAAGTAGTTCTTGTCTTAGTATATTGAAACTAATCATTGCAATTAAGAGAATCACAAGGTATAGTCCAGAGAGAGGAATCATTCCTATTTTGGCAGTTTCTGAAACTGGGTTACAAGGATCCATGCTATTAAGCCTGCAGGTTCAAAGGTTCAGTCAGAATTGAGACCTGCTACTCTATGGAGTTAATCATGGAATTGAAACCTCATGATCTTTCAACTACAGGAACAGGATTGCTTACTAATCAGTCTTGTTTCCACTCCTGCCTCCCATCCACAGCATCCCTTGTTCAATTCTGATGACTCTTTTTAGAAGACTTGATTACACAGCCAGATCACATCCTGTTTTAACTTTTTACAGCTTCTCACTGTCTAATTCTTTAGAATGACATAAAAGTCATTCTGTCCAAACTAAGCACCCTCAATTACCTGCTAAACTTTTACCTTTGAGAAATTCTAAATTGCTTACAGTTCTCTGACCACACCTTATTAGTTTACACTTTCTTGCCTCTGACCACATTCTGCCTTTTGTGTTGAATGCCGTTTCTCCTATCATTCTCTTGGCAAGTTTCCATTTCTAATTTATAACCCAGCTCAGGCTTTACCTTCTTGGTAAAGTATTCCCTGATCTCCCAGAAATAGTGAATTACTCTGTTCTCCAAGACCCCTATGGTTTGTGTATGATTGTAGTTAAAACAATATATTGTAATCTCTGGTACACTCATCCTACAAATGGTTACTGAGTGTTTATGTGCCAGGCATTACGGATGCAGTGCTTAGCACGGAGGATGCAATGCTGAGTAATACTGGATGTCACTGCTCTCATGAAGATTGCATTCTTCAAGGGAGACAGATAATAAACAAGTAAACAGACAACATAATGAATATTATGATGTAAACAATATAAGGTACACACTAAATAAAATGATGGGGCTGGTATACTAACTTAAGAGTAGCTGGGGAAGGCACACCTGAGGTAGTAGTATTTGAGCTGAGAGCTGAAGACTAAGAATAAGCCAGCCTTGTAAAAAGCAAAGGGAAGGCAGAGGGAGCAGAAAAAAAAAAAAATAAAGGCCCTGAGATGGAAAAAAGAGCCTAGAGTGTCTTCTATTAATGTGTTATTTCTCAATAGTATTCAACATAGTACTCAACACAGTTCCTAATAGCCAATAGTAACAAATACAGCTTGGTGACCAGACCAGTGTCAATTTAAACAGGAAAATACAGTGTATTCTATAAAGTTTGTAACTTGAAGTAAGTAGACTACTACATTTTTTTCCTCAGAAGATAATTTAAGAGTACTATTTTCACATTCCCCACAACAGCATTAAGTATGTAGTATTTTACCTTAGTAGATATGGATGAATGGATGGTTGCAGACTTTTGAAAGCAATTTCTAGGATGCAAACATTCCCTAACATGAGAAAACATCAATGAACAGAACTCAACAGAAACATGGAGTTATGATAAAAAAGTTACCTAAAATCTTGTGTGTTGAATACTTGGAAAGTCCTTATGACTCCTTTAATACATATACTTGCTATATTATAAATAACTATATGACTTTTTTGCTTTCTGTTCTATTGTATTGTTTACCCAATGAATGTTTTCTAGCAAATAATCACTGGCTGTTCACTTCCAAGGTTTTCTCTGTACAGAAGAGATGCTGCCCACACTTCACTAATGCAGTTATGCTGCACTCCTAAGTGAAGCAAAATAAATGACATGGTATTACAAAAATAACTTTTGTTATCAAAACAGCTAGTTTGTTTTAAAGCTGGGGTTTTTCCACATATGAACTAGCAACTGTCATAACTCTACAAGTGAACAGACAAAACTCTTTGACAATCATCTAAAGAGGGCAGGTTTGGTTTTGAGCTAATCGTGAGTATGAATGATGGCAGGACATTCAGGTGATTCAGGTTCAGAATCTCATGGGGAAGCTGACTTCATTTTTACTTAAGCCTTGTCCTAAAGGGCCTTGGTGGAATGGATTTGGTTTACAGGTATTTCTTTTTTTTTTTTTCATTTTTCTTTTATTATTCATATGTGCATACAAGGATTGGTTCATTTCTCCCCACTGCCCCCACCCCCTCCCTTACCACCCACTTTGCCCCCTCCCGCTCCCCCCCCCAATACCCAGCAGAAACTATTTTGCCCTTATTTCTAATTTTGTTGTAGAGAGAGTATAAGCAATAATAGGAAGGAACAAGAGTTTTTGCTGGTTGAGATAAGGATAGCTATACAGGGCATTGACTCACATTGATTTCCTGTGAGTGGGTGTTACCTTCTAGGTTAATTCTTTTTGATCTAACCTTTTCTCTAGTACCTGTTCCCCTTTTCCTATTGGCCTCAGTTGCTTTAAGGTATCTGCTTTAGTTTCTCTGCGTTAAGGGCAACAAATGCTAGCTAGTTTTTTAGGTGTCTTACCTATCCTCATCCCTCCCTTGTGTGCTCTCGCTTTTATCATGTGCTCATAGTCCAATCCCCTTGTTGTATTTGCCCTTGATCTAATGTCCACATATGAGGGAGAACATACGATTTTTGGTTTTTTGAGCCAGGCTAACCTCACTCAGAATGATGTTCTCCAATTCCATCCATTTACCAGCGAATGATAACATTTCATTCTTCTTCATGGCTGCATAAAATTCCATTGTGTATAGATACCACATTTTCTTAATCCATTCGTCAGTGGTGGGACATCTTGGCTGTTTCCATAACTTGGCTATTGTGAATAGTGCCGCAATAAACATGGATGTGCAGGTGCCTCTGGAGTAACAGTCTTTTGGGTATATCCCCAAGAGTGGTATTGCTGGATCAAATGGTAGATCGATGTCCAGCTTTTTAAGTAGCCTCCAAATTTTTTTCCAGAGTGGTATTTCAAGTATAGAAGGAGTCACAAGATTCAACAAGTTAACTTTCTTATCTCTAAGAACCTAAGCTGAGCTACCTGTTACATGTGTACCTGTGTCCAGTTAAATGCTGATTCCTGTTTAAGGCTGGTAAAAAAATTTTGTTTCAAGCAGATAACAGCCTTCTGTGACTCTTATGTATGATCAACACTGATCATTTATGAATCTGAGAATTGTGAATAATTAAGTTATAAAGAGCTTTTTATTCTATTAATGCATATTATCCAATTTTTATATGCATCAGGATTCTCTTCTAGTTCTAAGTCTGAGGTATCCAAGCAGCTATTGTAAGAAATATCCGACAGTGTTCATGTAAGTCCCACCAGCATGATCACAATTTGTTGGAAAAATATTATACATTTGCTTCATGTAATTGCTAATTAATTATACCACCTACCAAGCATTGCATCTGTCTCAGCACACATAGCGTAATAAAATGCTCTAATATTCTTAATTTCTTTGTCCGTAAACTTCCCAGAACAGTTTTTTGTATAAGAAGAGTAATAATCTACAGGGTGCATTTCTGACAAAGGCAACCACTTTGGGATTTTGATGGCATCATAAGATACCTACAAAGGAGAGGAAAAAAACCACTTTAGTTATTCTAGCAAAGTTATAACATTCCTTTCATTCAATAAGATCTATGGTGGACTTCACAATGCTTAGTTAGAATAGTAGAAAAAAAGGCTATGAAGTATGTAAAGAAAATAGTAAATAAAATAAAGTAGGAACAGATTGTTAAGACAGAGTATCCCTTATCTGAAATGTTTGAGATTTAGTTGAGCCTTTACTGTAAAAGGCCTAGGGAGAAATGGATTTGCCTCCCAGTGATTAATTCATGTGACACCTTATAAAAACGAATAATCAAAAGAAGAACTGGCCAACAAAGAAGAACGTGCAGTAAAGAAATGAAAAGTGATAAGGCTGGAAGTTCAATTCAAAATTGTAAATGAAGTTATAGAAGAAGTGTCTGACCTGGGAACGTTGACACTGCCACCACCCCAAAGATTGCAGATATGTAGCTACAGGAAGTTAGTGAGGGCACACTTACAGACATAAGTGAGGAAGGTCATCATGAAGAAAAGGACAAAGACTCCCAGAGAGATGACATTCAAGGAACTCTTGGAGATACATCAACATTGAAAGCGATCCAAATATAGAAAGGAATATGACAGTATGCCAAGTCATAGAGAAGATGCTAACTCCGTATCATAAATTATACAATGAGAAGGCAAGCATTGCTCAAACTATCCTTGGTAAGTAACAAAAATAACAAAACCCCACTTTAATTCTCAGCATTTCTACTGTTTTCAGTACAGAACACTAAATAAATACTAGTTTTACTATTTTTCTATTCTACATTTATAACAGAAAATAAGAGAATTTTAGATGTTTGCACAAATGTTTTTAAACATTCCAGAGAAAAGGTCATTTTTCTCATGGACAATTAAGATCATTTTGCAATGTCAGCTTCCATAGTCATTTTTATGGTCTTGAACTGTACAAAGTAAGGACTGCCCACACTCCTGTGAGAAAGTCTTTCAGTTCCTCTTTTTATGGACATAACATATATAAATGTATTCAGTTCAGAAGATTTCTGAATTTTAACACTTATTTCTGTAAAATTGCCCCTTAAGTTTTTAACAAATTTGTTATTGGTCAAGTTTAAATGTATAATTTTCAAATTTCTCTTAAAGGAGATAAAAGGAACAATGGTCTAATACCAATAAAATACAATATGTTATAATATATACTATTTATTATATAATATTCAATATAATGCTAACTTCTACTTTTGAGCACACGTAGTGTCCTTACTTTTTCAAGCCAATAAAGAGATGTGTGAAATGTTGAAGATCCAAAGTTTTCTCCTGAAGATGGTGAAGGGTACGGGTGTGGTAAATTTAACCCCAAGTAAAGGACAAATGGTTTAGTGTAATTAATTGCTTCATTTCTTAACCAGCTTATTGCTTTGTCTGTATTCTTCCAATCCTCTTCCATCACTCTTACTTTCGTTTTATTAGGAATAAGATTAACCATTGGCCTGCCTTCTTGTCTGAGTAAGAAAGCAACATCTCTTGTCCATGCTTCCACACGATTACTGAGGGAAAAAAAGACAGGTATAATGTAAGATATTTAAAAGTTTTAAAAGCTGACTAAGCATACACATAAAAAAGAGGCATGGAAAGTTTTTAAGATTCAGTCCTTTAAATGTTCAGAATAACTATAATACCTCAATTGAAAAGTTACTGAGTATTACAAATTCAAAAACCAGGAAAAAATAACCATCAACATTTGCTCGGTGTCCTTTAAAACTGTGATATATTACTTAGAATCATTACCTTTTCTTAGAGCAAGATACTTGAAGAAAAAAATGTTTCAGATTCCTAGTGTTTTTCCTTATTTACTGGAATTTCTAGCACTTTTATTTTTCTTTCAGAAGATAAGTAGTTCTAACCAAAGATAGTATAATTTCTATCATCAAAGCTTTTTATTTTTAAAAATCCCACATACGTGAATACTGCATGTTTCTAAAGTCCATGTTCTAAACTGTTCCCAGATCTATCTTTTGTCACCAAAAGAACAATTTTAACCACGACCCAAGCTATCTAACAGTGACACAAATTTCTTATCCATTATGAACTAGAGATGTTTTATTAGTTGACTTACAAGTTAAAGTATTCAATGAATTCAATTTCTGTAAGTCTTTAGTCTGTTTCATATATTACTTGATTTTTTTAAGTCAATGTCTTAAGTATATGTAGCTGGCATAATTGCTTAGGAAGCAGACCTGGGCATTTCTAAGAAACTTATTTTTAATAAAGTTTCAAAAGTTTTTATAAGTTGACAGAAGTACCCCTGAAGTGCTCTATAAATTCAGAATTATTAAAAATCTAGATGGCAATCCATAAAAAGAATGCTTCATATTAAAACATAGTATTCCACTTAAAAGAAATTTCAATCCACAGAAAATGACTAATGGCCTGTGCATATTGAGCCAAAATAAAAAATTTTCTTTTTTGCTTAACCTGCCTCCTGAAGGCAGATAAAGAAACTTAAAGAATACTAAATTTTTTTCATAGTTGATTTTTAATATATTTTGATAAAAATAATGGGAACTAGATTTTTAGAAGAATTACACCTAAAAGATAACTAATTAATTCTAACAGATGGGAAATTCTAAAATAGGAATTTTCTGTAAAACTCACCACATTATCAAAACAATATGACACTAGTTTCTCAGTCTTTTGCTTAAATCGTTGTTGAAATCTCACTGGTACTATTAAAGGTGGGACTTAAGGGTTTTATAAAAGAGTTTGAGATAAAAAGAAACAGCAATTCACACAGGTTGTATAGGAACCAAAGTACTTTCTTGTTAATGTAGGAGTGTTTGCACTGGAAAATACAACTGAGAAGTTGTTTCAAGAAGCAAGCTTGTAATGCATGTCAAGTTGGATTAACTCAGGTACAGACTATTGTTCTGATTGTGCTGACTGGCTTAACCAGTTCCCCTATGATGCAGTCATGAGTGAACTATACTGTCTTGGGGTAACATCTTCCAGCCTTTAAATATGATGGCATTGAACTCAGCTCACTATAGCTTTTGCCACAGCAATAAATAAATGATTTCATTTAATCTTTTTAAGTGGCAAATTCGTTATCTGTTCCAAAGTTTTTTACTTTCTGTATTGTTGAGATTCTTTTTGCATAGGTCTCTATTATGGTTTGAATCTTAATGTTCCCCAATGGCCCATATACTAAAGGCTTGGTTGCCAGCCTGGGGTGCTACTGGGAGGTGGTGAAATCTTTAGGAGCTGGAGTCTAGAGGGAGTAAGTTAGGTCACTGCGGGCAGCCTGAAAGGGGAAGCTGGACCCTGGCCCCATCTTCTCTTTTTCTTGCTTCCTGCCATCATGTTCTGTCATGCCATAGGCCCAAGGCAATGGAACCAACTGACCATGGACTAAAATCTCTAAAACCATGATCCAAAGTGAATCTTTCCTCCTTATAAATTGATTGATTCTGGGTTGTGATGGAAACACAACCTTAAGATTAAAAAGGCTCAAGTCAATTCTGGCTTAGTTTTCAAACAGCTTTTGTCCAGTTTGTGATTTACTCCTTGCTAATATAAGTGGTAAACAGAACTACCCAACATATTACCAACTAATTATTGCATAAATTTGTATATGTGCCACTGCTGTGTGGGTTTTATGTGCTAGTGTGCCAAATTTTCTTGATATAAAATGGGATACACACCAGGCACAGTGGTTCATTCCTGTTATTCTAGCTACTTGGGAGGCTGAGATCAGGAGGATCATGGTTTAAGGTCAGTCTGGGCAATAGTTCCTGGAACCCCATCTCCAAAATAACCAGAGCAAAATGAACTGGAGGTGTGGCTCAAGCAGTAGAGTGCAAGGTCCTGCATTCAAACCCTCTTCCTACCAAAACGAAACATGAGATGCAGTCAGTTCACAGGGAGCACAGGACTAATTTACAGAATCACAAACACATCTAAAACATATCACACATTAGAACTGATGATGAGAAATGAGAGTTTTCTTTCAACATGAAGTAGGAGCCTAGATGAACCTTTAAGTTTCCCAAGACTCATGAAGACAGCTAACTCAGGCGTGTCACACTGTCACAGTTCTGTGACTCTCTCTCTCTCCCTCCCCCTTCTGCTCCTCCCTCTGCATTGTTATTGTTGGAATTACAGCAGCCAATGTATTCACAATAAGTTTTTGAATGGAAACATGACAGTTCAGGAAAAAATGCCTGCAAATTTCTGTATCAGCCTAATAGATTCTCTGAGAAAAAGGAATCCAGACTCATTCCCATTGAATGCTCCTCTCAAAGCTGTGAGAAACACACAAGCCATTTAAAGAGGATTTCAAGGCTGCCTTCTATTTTCCTTACATATGATCACTCACAAAAACAGTCTGTTTTAATTGAATGAATCATATCCGCCCTGGCAAATTCAAGCTGGAAAATCAGTTTCAATATACATTATTTAAATGTTCAATATATACATGTCTTCCCATGGATTAACTATCAATTCCAAGCATTTTCATTGTTTGGTGAAATTACAGCAACTGATGTTCCTTAACTTTCCTTATTCATGGTTTTCTTTTAAATGAATATATGTAATAATATATTAATTACATATTTTATGTACATAATAAGTATGTATTATTAACAGTAAATACATTTCAAATGAACATTTTGTTAGTACGTTTGTAAGGAATGGGTACCTAGGGGTTTCAGGGACTTGGAGTTGTGAGATCCCACCCAGCCATTTTCTATTGCTGGTGAATTCATCATTGTGGTAGCAATGATATTTGCAACTTTGAATTCCTCTGTGACAATGACCACAGCCCTTGACAGAGTATACATGTTTACTGCAATTTGAACTTACTTTAACAAAGGCAGAATTTTGCATTCAATTCAAGAAATAGTTAGTGAATGCCTACCACATATGAGGTACAGTACGAGGTAGGTATTTGATATGATTTGCTAAGCTGCCTCATGATCTACTCAGGCACAAAACCTTCCTCATATTGTACTTAAAAATAAAGGGCCAAAAGCTACCCTGTGGAAAAAGCAGCCATGATAAACTACTTCATATATGATTATCACACTGTTTAACTCATATTCATTTTTACAACCAAAAAAATTTTTTTGGGGTGCACTTTTTTTCCATTTATTCATATGTGCATACAATGTTTGGGTCATTTCTGCCCCCGCCCCCTCCCTCTCCCCCCAACCCCCTCGCTTCTAGGAGGCAGAAACTGTTCTGCTCTTATCTCTAGTTTTGTCGTAGGGTGCACTTTTAAAATAATTTAATGTATCAACCTAAGCAACCATAAAATTTCAAATTTTTGGGGAGAGGTTTTTTTTTTTTTTTTTTTTTGTCTTTTCTTTTTTGGTGCTGGGATCTCAAATTTTTATAAACTTTTAATTTTTAATAGTATACAGAAAATATTACCTGGACAAAATGTCATCAAATCTGAATGAACAAAGTGTACCCCCCATAAGTCTATCATTAAGAGAATTCACCAAGTATTCTCTGCAGGAGATGTGTCACCGTGTCTCTAGCTCTTGTTCAAGGGGTGAATTAGATGCCTGTCAACTGGTCAGAGCACCTGACCTAAGGACTAAATCCTTATTTCCTTAACAGCAATTATGATGAGTCTAGCATGAAATACGAATTAAGCCTATCATCCGTATTTATGGAATTTTAATATAAAAAAAATCCAGTAATGGGCAGTTATCTAGAATGTAGCCATGAGGTAGAAAGTCACAAAGAAGATGGAGCTTGAACCAAGACAGGTCATACAGGTCAGAGTTACAGTTGGAAGTGATGTAGTACAGAAAAAGACCCAAAGTGGAGGAGAGGAATCAGTCATGACTCATGTTAGTCACAGAGAGCAGCGCTCCCCCAGTGCCTCCTGCTGAACTCATGAAAGCTGTACTGCCGTCAAAATTATCCCTCAGTTTCATTACTTAAGAGCAGTGTGTGATAACCGTTATTGTTGGACTGATAATCTGAATCCCTTTCCACCACACACAGATCCTTACACGATGACAATGTCTTCCTTGCCAACCCTCTATTCTTATGTAGGTGGGTTCAAGTGACAGTTCTTCCAACTTAAAGAACTGAATGAGGGGCTGGCTGTAGTTCAGTGGTAGAGATTTGGCTAGCATGCATGAGGCCCTGGGTTTGATCACACACACACACACACACACACACACACACACACACAACTTGATGAAAATAATCATGTAAAGAGTATTATACCAAGTGAAAATCTCATTCAGATTTCTCAGAATAGAAAACTTATAAAAGGTACAAAGATATCTTTCATGCTTGAAAGTAGTTAAAAAAAGATTTCACTGCTGAAGAATCTAATGCTATTACATTAGGTATTAGATATTTTAACATTCTTTTAAAATTATAAAAGGAATCTGAAATTTTCATATAATTCTTATAGAATAAGTGCCTTACTTTTGAAATTCTAGTTTCATATTAGAAAAAGGTACTAAAAGAAAGTCAGAGCCTTGAGATCAGGAAGATCACAGCTTGAGGCCATCTTGGGCAAAAC